TAATTTTAATAAAAGAAAATATATTAGAGAGGAAATAAGAGAGAAATATTTATGCGTTGTATATAAATCGATTTGTCCGTTCGATCGATCGAGACATTACCGAGATCTCGTTAAAATTAAATTAGAAATTAAAAAAAAAAAACGACGAATACAATTTTTTTTATGCGTTTTTATACACTTCCAACTAAAAGTTTGGATAGATGTCAATTAAAATCAATCCATCATTTAATCGATTGAGAAACATTAACATTTCACTTTGTAGCAAACATGAAACCTGTAAAAAACAAAAACAAAAGAAAACGTTTAAAATATTGCAATGTCAAATCATAAACAATCCTGAATTGGGATCTCTAGCACTTGAATACGCTATCTGGTAGCTAAATTCAAACTTAGAGTAGATAGGTCTAATTGCTACGTCACGTGGGATCTCTAGCACTTGAATACGTTATCTGGTGGCTAAATTCAAAATTAGAGTAGATAGGTCGAATTTTGCTACGCCACGCACCTGCCAGAGATCCCAATACTGCAAAAGCTTATTAATTAAAATTTGATAAATCCAATAAATTTGAGTAACAATAAAATCATATGAAATACGTGCTGAAATAAAAAATATTGTTAAATAAACCATTAGCTTGTATATAAATATTTAATGTAAAATGCAATAAACTGTAGCCAAACTTTTGGTTGATAGTGTATCTATATACTTATGTATATTATATAGTACTATATAGTGTGTACTATGGTGTACTATACAAAAGCTTCTAAAAACTTTTCTACTTAACGATACATACCCCTATACTTGAACAAATATTTTCACGAACATGTATATACATTCTATATAGTATCATTTATTTCACTGTATTCAATTCATGGGTCATACTACTATAAAATTGTCAAACTGTTTTATGAATTAATTATTGATCATTGCTCGTCCAAAAATTGTTTACTTTTGTTGAAATGGTACCCCCGTACTTCGTACTGGGTAGCTTTGAGAAACCCCATACTACAGGGTACTCTATTATAGTATTATATATTATACATATGTGGTGGCTTAGAAAAATATGATTATTATAAAATATTGATTTTAGGTATTGGTATATACAACCATATAAGTAATAAAAACCCGTATAAAGAAAATCACTATACGGATTAAATATCGTTGTGACGTATATGCGAAAAGTTAGCTCGTGTTAAATCCATCAACGATTTAGAGATTTTCATGGGCAAACCTGGGGGACACTGACGACGAGTTTAAACCGTGCTACTCGTTCGACATCAAGAGGGATCTCTCTTGGTGATTGATAAGCGCGGTTATCATTGACAACGTGCGTATATTTCGAGAATAAAGTAAAGCAAAGTGAAATGAAAAAAAAAATAATAAGAAAACAAAAATATTACGAAGTGCAAAAAAAGAACGAAGAAATAATACGGATTTAAAAAAAAAAAGAATTCCTTCATTAGGTGTGGGAAAGGGGTGGGGAAGGTAGGAAGGGGAATTATTTTATCGGACATAAAGAGAAAGGAGAGACGTAAAATGAAAAAAGACAAAATATGAAAAGAAATGACGAAATCGCACGTATTTAATAATAATGAATCTCGAACGTTTGGGGATTAATCTTTTAATAAATAATTTCTCTGTGAAGTAAACAATTAAATCATAACCTTTAACCTCGTCGAAGTCTTCCTACCGCGAATGTGTGAACATATGGTAGAAAAGTTCTAAATAAATTTATTTAATTTCACTCGAGAGTTTTAACATCTCAAAAAAAAAAAACAAAAGAAAAAGAAATAATAATTATTTTCATTTTATAATTAAACATAAATAGAATTGAATAAATTTATAAATTTGTTTCTGTCGATCGTTTGAAATAAAATATAATTCGGCTTTTTGCTGAAGTTAAAGTTGAAAGTAGAGAAAGAAAAAAAACGTCAGAGAATGAGAGGAATAAAATATGTTCTATAAAAACTTTACGTTCGTTCAAATATTACAACAATACACACACACATATGTATGTATAAATATATATACAGTATTAGGTAATTAAATGATAAAATATATAATAATATGTCTTTGATACCGATTATAAAAGCCCTTTAAACCAGATTTAATTTCCCTCATTCGAATGAAAAACACATTTACATTTACGTGTATAAATACATGTACACGCATCATATATACGTGTGTGTGTTTCTCTAAGCGATACTCGGAAATCTCATCTCTTTCTCGTCGTTTTGTTCACGACCTTGCTGATCTTAGATAGTAAAGGTCGCGATATAACACGTACATACATATGTATGATCAAAAAAGAGAAAGAAAAAGAAAGAGAGTGTGAGAGAGAGAGAGAGAGAGAGAGAGAAAAAGACAGAGAAAATTATCGGATCGAGATCTTAGTCGAGAATGTAAAGTATCGATAAACACCAAGGTAAAATACAAATTTTATTTAACATTAGATATACCACCATTTTCAGTATTGGGATCTCTAGCACTTGAATACGCTATCTGGTGGCTAAATTCAAAATTAGAGTAAATAGGTCGAATTTTGCTACGCCACGCCTCTGCCAGATATCCCAATACCTATTTCTACCACACTAGTCAAGATTACTGATGTATACAAAAAAATGCTTTTTAAAGGCTTCCAGTTTTTATTTACTCTTAAAAAATAACAAAAAAATGTTTAACAATAATAATTTTAATATAGATAAATCGATTTATAGACATTTTTAAATAATAAAACGCTTAATTATTTACAGAAATCAAATGTTACATGAAGTAGACATTTTGAATTAAAATGGCTTGACCAGTCAAAATGATTGGTCTGGTATATCTAGTGTTAACTATACATACATATATATGTATGTGTATGTACGTGTGTGTCTTTTACATTTACCCAAACAAGCCACTTTTGAAATATTTAAAAGTATTCGTCGTTTTAGTATTATTTAAATTTTTTCTCATCAAGCAAATATTTATCAAACGAAATTACCAACAAGACAAACAAAAAATCGTTTTGCATAAAATATAAAAGAAAACCAGACATAAGAATAGTCTCGTTTGTTCGAGAACGATCGAAGGATTTAATCGATTAAAAAACTTTGATCTGTTTCGTTAACGTTGCAAAGGTAAAATAAAAAACAAAAAAAAAATAAAGAAAGAGAGAAAGAATGATCGATAGATCATTAAAATCATATGTAAATGATATTTCTCTCTTTTATATTCTCGTCGTATTACGTCGAAGAGAGAGAGAGAGAGAGAGAGAGAGAGAGAGAGAGAGAGAGAGAGAGATAAAAGCGTAAAGGAAAATTTCAAATCATGGTGCTCCAAACAAACAAATAAACAAACAAACAAACAACAAACAAACAAGCAAGCAAGCTTATGCGTCTTGTTTTAAAAACTCGTTTCTATCGCAATATCCCATCGTTTATCGTCCGATAAAAGAAAGAAAGAAAGAGAGAAAGCGTGAAAAAAATAGCGAGAGAGAGAGAGAGAGAGTGAGAGAGAACGAAAGAGAACGCAAAAGAGAGAGAGAGAGAGAGAGAATAAAATTAAGAATGTATAAGCGAGAGAGTGTGAGAGAGAAAGAGAGAGTATTATTATGAAAAAAAATCCTATATTAGCAAAGTATAATAAAAAAGGAATACAACAAAAACAAAGAGAAAGAGAAAGAGAGAGAAAGAAGAAAAGAAAAGTATAGAAATTGTAATTTAAAATCGATACACGTTGTTGATCACAATCGATAGTTATTACACCTCGTTCTTTCTCTCTCTTTCTCTCTCTCTTTCTCTCTCTCTCTCTCTCTCTTTCTTTTCATTTTTCTGTAATCTTTTGAACACAACGAGATTCGACGACGTGCTTACGATATTTCGTACTTTGATTTCACCCTGTAAGTGAATTATAAAAAAGAATGAGAAATTATGTATGTGTGTGTGTATGTGTATGTGTGTGTTAGTGGCAAAGTTAATGAAGGCATAGTATACTTACACACACATTTATATTATACACACATGTACACAGGTGAAACTATACAAAGAGAGAAGAAAAACGTTTTTCTCAGGCGTATGAAAAAGAACAGAAAAAAAAATACGTTTTTTGAGTACACTAAAATACACGGAAAAAAAAAGGAAAGAAAGAGACAGAAAAAGAGAGTGAGAGTAAGAGTGAGAATGAGAGAGAAAATAAGAGAGAGAGAGAGAGAGAGAGAAAATGTGAGAAACGCGCTGGAGACTCGTCCGTAACACTCATCGCATTAAAAACCGCGCATATTTCGATCGTTATGGATGCCACAGTTGATTTTGTGAACGTAAGTGATCTTTTTTCGGTTTATTAGACGAAGGAATGCATATCATAGTTGTAAATTACCAATTTGTGAAATAAAAGCTGCAAACTGTTTGTGTTAACAATAATAATAATAATATAAATATCGTGTGTTATCGGCCGACGAGTATGTCTGACCACTCGTTGGCCGTATCCCCTTTTTTCCATTATCCTTAATTGAAATTTAATAATATGTTAAAGTAAGACCCCTAGCGCAAATCATATGATATTAAAAGTCTTTTATTTATTTTTTATTCGTATCGTTTAACGTTCATTTTTCGTTAGTTCATTGTCCGCTGATTAAAGTGGATAATTAAATTTACGAGAACCTGAACGAAAAAAATCAAAAACTCGTTCGAAAAGAAATTATTTCCATATTAAATTCAACCCTATTTTTAACCCCAATCAAGTAATTCAAAAATCCTATGTTGTCTTGCGAGTATTTGATATTCATTGGCTTAATAATAATAACGAGAGCCACATTTTATATTATCGAAATTATTTCGATGTCTACATATTTGCAGGAAGAAGGGATAGAAAAAGGGTAAGTCGTCAGTCAATGGAAAATAAGAATATCAAATAGAAAAATTAAAAAAAAAACAACAACAAAAAAAAAAGAACGAATGAAATAAAAATAAGAAAATAAATGTAATATGAAAAATAAATGTTTATTGTGTTCCTTTCGCAGGTGTCATTGGCGTTGGGATTGGATGCAGGTGGTTGGGGTGCGTTGGTTGAAAGATCGAGCGCTCATAACTACAGCGGAAGTGGAACGGGTGGAGGTGCAGGTTTGATCGGTCACGGAAGTTTCGCAAGTTTGGCGGGTTTGGCAAGGCGTTGCGGAGTTTGTTTGGCCACGTTCCCGTCAGCCTGGTTGCTCGAACGTCACGCGTTGCTGCAACACGCTGGTCAATCGAACGACGACAAACCGTTTACGTGCGAGCAGTGCGGTCAACGTTATCGTTACCGTTCAGCCTACGTGAAACACCGGGAGCAGAATCATCGTGCACGGTTGCCGGCCGACAAGTTATTCACCTGCGACGTATGCGGTATGCAATTCAGGTATCTTAAATCGTTCAAGAAGCATAGACTGAATCACGCGTTGGAAAGATTGCAACGGGCACCTAGCGATACGCATAATGCTGTATTAACCGCATCCCCGTTTGCGGAAAGAAGCGATCAGGTATCGAGTACGGGTGAACCTAGTCAAATTGAAACGGGTAGCGATTCTACTACTAATCTGGGTGAAGTTGAGGAGTCTAGAGGAATATATTCGGAGAATGCTAGAGGCGAGGAGAGTGTATCGGAGACAACGAGTATTCAAGATAATCCAGGGGAGGCAACAGTCGAGGTGCAAATGACGGAATCCGAGACCACTGCGAAAACAACGACGACAACGACGACGACATCGAGTGGTGGTGGTGGTGGTAGTGGTGGAATTGGTATTATTAGTGGTGTTAGGACGTTAGCTAGTATCATCTCTCCATCGGCAACTGGAAGCGAAATTGGCTTGAACATTGGCACTAGCAATAATACTGCTACAACGACGGACGTAGTTGCGGACCCTGACGAATCTGTCCTTGATGATGGCGAACGTAACGAAACACCGGACGCGATGATGATAGGTTTGGCACGAACCGGACACGAGGCTGATAGACGCGAACGACGTTTTGCGTGTCCCTTCTGCGGCAAATGCGTCAGATCTAAAGAAAATTTAAAATTGCACGTACGCAAACACACTGGTGAACGTCCCTTCGTTTGTCTATTTTGCGGACGTGCATTTGGGGGTAAAAGCGATCTCACTAGGCATCTTCGTATACATACTGGCGAACGACCTTATCATTGCGAAATGTGCGGAAAATGTTTTGCCCGTGCCGATTATCTTTCCAAACATTTAACTACCCATATACATCAGCGTTAATGTCTCGCACGATTGTTTCATTCGATTAAATGAATTTTTATCTTATATATTTTTCTTTTTTTTTTTTTTTTTCTTTAAACAAAGAAACTAATTTTTCCGTAACTTCTCGTGTTTACAAATAAAAAAAAACAAATATAAAAGAAAAAGAAAGAAAGTAAAACAACAATGAACGAACGTTGTTTTAATCGAGCAACTAATATAGAAGAAGAAATAAATTTTAAATGAAAATAATATTTCCTTCTTCATGAGACGCGTCAATTAACACGAGATGTGGGGCATGTTAAATAAATAAATAATAAAAAGAAAGAAAGGAAGGTAGAAAGGGTTAGAAAGGGAGGAGGGAGTATTTTGACCTGTAAGGTACAACATAAGTGAGACTATCGCTCTTGTGATAAGGATTCAATACCAAAGAATAATAATGAATGCAACGACGCCAACGGGTGATAGTCGACACAATTATTTTATTCTTTTTTTTTTCTTATTCCTTTTCTCTATTTTGTATTTCTTGTCTTCTTCGTCCTATAATAACTCCATAAAAGCGTGATATAACTAAACATATATTATATATTTATAACATTTATAATAATTAATCTTGATCCTATATTTAAAATAATATATTTAAATATTATTTACGCGAGATTTATAGTACAACCTCGAACACGTCGCTCGAATCTTCTAATTTATATGTTTTGTAATTGTTATTAATTTTTTTTTTTTTTAACTTTTTCACAATAGTACCTTAACTTACGTAATTCATTTTTACGAAAGAAATTAAATCTTTTTTCTCAAATCTCAAAGTAATGAAAACAACAATCAAAAATTTTACGTTTATTCGATGATTTTTAATTGAAAGAATTTTCTTGAAGAAGTCAACGATAATTTCTCTTGTTTTTTCTTATTTTTATATAATTTTATTCAATCTATTCGTGATATCGTTGAAATTATGAGAAAAAAAAATGTGCCAAAGGAAAAAAAGAAGCTTTCAAGGAACGTTTCTTCTTTCAATTATTCTATGATTTATATTATTGAATAAAACAAAAAACACTAAGAAACGATAACAACGAAAAATTCTAACATCGACTTGGTAATAAATAAATAAATAAATCAATAAAATGGATTAATATTTCGACGTGTTCGTCGTTGATATTTAAAAGGGTACGGTGATCAAACATATTCGGTTAAGATTTAACAGATGTTTCAATAAAATATTTTTATTTTAATGTTTTCTAATTGCAAAAACGAAACAAATTGTTTCCCAAAATGAATTGAATTAATAAATATATATATATATATTTTATTAAAAAACCAAATGACAAAATTGAAACCGAAGAATGTTATATAATAAATTCACTGTACCCTTAATTTGTTGCGAAACGAAATCATCTTCCGAGTATAAGTGAGTTGCCGGTGCCTTCGAGAATCCCTTTTACCAACCCTTCCACCCTTTTACAAGACTCGACAAATTCTTTTAAATGCATTATAGCAATAAAGAAGAAACGAAAGCAAAAGAAGACGAATAAGAAACGAAACAAACAAGAAAAACGAAAAGATTTCATTTGATTGTTCGTTTACGAACGATTTAGTTGGAAAATGGTCCACAAAATCCTTCCAACGATTTCATTAATTAATTCTTCATACCTTTTTGTTAATCCTTTTATTTTCGATATACACACTCGAATGAAGAAAAAGAAGAAGATAAAGAAGATAAACATAAAGATGAAAATGAAGAAGAAAATAAAACATAAATAAACATATAAACACATACACGTGAACAAATATAAACATACGTGTACGCAATGAAGAGAGTGCCGGCTCATTCTCCAGGGTACCGGCCAGTTTTCGTAAGGATTATTCTTATCATATTCTTATCAATTAAACTGATAAAGAAAAGAACTCAAATAATACGAACAATAAACCATTTAACTACGAATAATGTTTATAAACGTACAATGAAAATAAGAACAACGCTTAAAAGCGTCCAATAACAATGTCAAACGTTACAATTAATGTGTTACGCGATTGGTAGATTTTTTTTCGATTATTCCACAGTCAAATGGTTTAATAAACAAAATATTTTTGCATACTAAATGAAATCGTTTATTCTTTTTCTTTCTTTCTTTCTTTCTTTTTATATAAATGACTCATCAATTTCGTAGTAACTATGGCAATAATAATAAAAAGTTAATATATATATGAATTTTGAGTATAAATAATACAAAAATAACATTAATAATTTAATTATTTTATTTATATTGTTATTTTACAGTCCTTACGAAAACTGGCCTCCCGACAAAGACAGTTACTCTCATAGTTTCTAATTAATATTAATAATTATTATAATAATAATAGTAATAATTATAATAATAATAATATTAATAATAATAATAATTACAATGACGATTATGATAAAGAAGAAGATGATGAAGATAAAGATGATGATGATGATGATGATGATGATGATAATAATGATCATGACGATGATGATCATGATGACGATAAAAATGATGATGATAATGATGGTTATGATGATGATGATGATGATGATAATGATGTTGATAATTTACTCGCTAACTCGGTGTCTGCGCATTTCCAATACAAAAACGAAGTCGAATAACGAAGGTGCTATCTAAATAAGTAGAATCGATCGCTAAATACTGAGCTGTAATAATCATCTAAAAATCATGTTTTTAATGAGAGAAAAAAAGAAAGAGAGAGAGAGAGAGAGAGAGAGAGAGAGAGAAAGAAAGAAAGAAACAGAGACAAGAGGGTAGCTTGTGCCAAAAAAAAAAAATAATAAATGCGCTAAAATAAAATAAATGAAAAATTAACGAAAATAAAAATATTCAAAATGCTATTATGAAATGATAAAATCATTTGATTAAATGAAAGAAAAAAAAATAATATAAACGAAGAACAAAGAGAAGAAGAAGAAGAAAATAAAGAAGAAGAAGAAGAAGAAGAAAAAGAAGAAGAAAAGAAAATAATAAAGATGGATGAAAGATTTCATTTTTTTCCCTCCAAAAAACCGGCTCGGTAATCTAAACGCGATACAAGCCAATTTAGATACATATATAAATATATATATTATATATATATATAATTATTATTCGTAATATTAACTCGTCTTGTTAAACGTGTCATTTTATTATTCTACGTCGATAAAATATTTATAAATATTTCTCTCTCTCTCTCTCTCTCTCTTTTTTGATTCGTCGCGATTAATTTGTGCTCACTCGACGACGAATTAATATTAGACGGAGATGATTAAATAATTAAATAAATAAATAAATATATTGATAGATAGATAGATAGATAGATAGATAAACAGATAGATAGGTAGATAGATAATAAAAAGATGACGATGAAGAAGGAGAAGATAAAAACGTGTCCAACGAATGTCAACGAGTCTTAAGGCGAGACGTGGGAACATTTTTGTTAATGCGATAACATTAAAATATTTATTAACCATTTCTGTTGCAATATACTTTTTTTGTAAAGGAATTATCGTTCTATAAAAAATACTTACACGTGTATCGTGAAAAAATAGTATCCGATTTGTATATGGGTTGAACCCTTATATGGTTCGATAGTAAATGAAAGCGTTGAAGTTTCGTTTGAAAATATTGAGAAAGATAAAAAGAAAGAAAGGAAGACAAAATGGAACCAAACTTAACGAAATAAAATTTAAAAATATATATATATATATATCTTATATATATTATATATATTTTTTTATTCTGTTGTCAGTTCGCTTTCGATTTTTCCCTCCTCTCGCCAAATACAAAATATTTGTTTTCAAATTTTGTGCATCCTAAAGATAAAAGCAAAACAAAGAAAAAAAAAACAAATTAATCGTACTTGCTAATTAATAAAATTAACAAATATGAGATCCACTTCGCGAAATGTTTATCTCTAAATGAAAGAAGAAGAATACAATATGACGAGATGACAATGAAATTAAAAGGAAATGAATAAGAAGAAAAATGATAAACAAAAATGAATATTATGAGAAACATAAACAGACGAACGATCGAACGAATTAACGAAATAAAAAACAAAAATAAATAAATAAATACACAAGAAAAAGAATAAGAAAGAAAGAAAGACATAGAAAGATAAAACCGATTCCATGGTGCCCAGTGTTTCGTTCGTTGCGATGACTAACACTACTTACTTCCACACGTTTGACCAATTTCGTTCCGTTTCTACTGTGAATCCGCGAGATCTACTTCGAAATCTTTATTTCTTTATTCATTTCGAGACATATAAACAAATTTTTTCTTTAATTTGTTCTATTTAAAAACAATAAGATAAAAGAAAGGATTTTAATCTAGATATAAGAATGGCAAGCTCGAATATTCAATCATACATATTCATTCATACAATTGTCATTTATAATTATTAATTAATGATTTCTTTTTCTATATATATACATATAGAAATATATAATATATTATATATTATATAATTATAATATATATATATAATATATTATATATATTTTAATAATTATTAAATGTATTTTATTAAAAATAATGTCACATTATTCCGAGTTGCCAATACGTCAGTTCGATAATATTTAGATATTTACGATAAATACATCCACACAGAGAAAGAAAGAAAAAAAGAGAGAGAGAGAGAGAGAGAGAGAGAAAGGAAGAGAAAGTATTATTCTCAAATAATAATAATAATGATGATGATTGTGATGTTCTCTCAAGTATGATGGACCACAGGTCGACCGTGCCAGTGAAAACGAATGAAAGTGCTATTTTACTTAGGCATACATATACACATACACAGATGAGCAAACATACACACATACACACACACATACACAATGATAACGTGATGATATAAGAAAAATACCTAAAATGCATATACCAAAGGACAGAAAAATATTTCGTTCCTCGTACCTCACATTGTATGATAATTATTAAATACATGAATTACATAATGATTACATACGTTACGTGACAATCGAAAATGATTTACATATATATTATACAGGCGCACTCGTACAAGCTTTCAAGTTAGATCACTCAGGAGACTAATTATATTCACATTTTCTTTTTACTACCAACTGGATGAAATAATACATATAATAATATTTATTCTAAGCTAATGGAAATCATTTTTACGATTATCAAAATAATAGTATATGTATAACTGAGAGAGTAACTAGCACGATTTTTAAAGAAATAAGTGGTAATAGAAAAAAAAATGATAAATGGGAATTAAGTATAGAAAGAACGGGAAAAGTAGGAAACGATTCAAACAAAACTAAAATATACTAACTAACTAAACTAACTAAACTAAACTAAACTAAACTAAACTAAACTAAACTTAACTAAACTTAACTAACGAAAGAAACTAGAAATGAAAGAAGAAGAATGTTGAAGCAAGATTCTTTGAATTTTCCAAATATACATTCGCTTGGAAAAAGCTCTCGATTATTATAATGACAAAAATTATGTGTGAACGATTTAAAGCAGAAAATTTGTTATTAACATAAATGGTACACAACGATATTATTAATTTATTAAATAAATACCTACAATTTTAAAGAAAGAATTTTTCTATTATTATATTATTATTAAAAATATCCAAGATATTCTGTAACTGTTGATACAGTTTTGGTTACAATTACTGTTATAACAGGATTTTATATTTAACAGCATCCAATATTGTTGACAATGATTCAAAAACAAACTTTGATTACTTTTATTAAAGACGTTTCATCAAAATATAAAACGTACTGGATAAAATGTAAAAATAAATTTACCCCAAATTGTGGAAATCAACCCTAGTAGCACAAAATATTGAATACATGTGTATTTAATATTAAAAAGACATTGAATCTCTTTTTAATATTAAATACACATGTATTCAATATTTTTCAATATTTTGTGCTACTAGGGAACATTGAAGTTTTAAATCTTCCATATAATTAAATCAATCGTATATTTTAACTTTTCAAATAAAAATGATTAACAATCACGTATAATTTAAGTTGTATACATTTTAAAATAAACACACATTTATATGCACACATGTGAATAATAAGGTTAACTAATTTTAAATCTAAAATCGTACTGTACCATTTTACTTATTAAACATGAATTTTCTGCTTAAGATAAAGAAGAAGAAAAAGAACAAGAATAAAAGAAAGATGAGAGCGTTACCTCAACGTCCGTTCAATGTGATATTTTGCAATATCCGATAATTAACTAGATGTTGACTAGTCAGAATTTTAAGTAGGTATAATTTCATTGATTTTCAACACGGAGAACAGTTCTCGTCTATTGTATGTGTGTGTGTGTATGCATGTGAGTGGGCGGGTGGATGTGTGTGTATATGTTTAAGGGGGAGGGGATTGTTGTCTATAAACACACACGTGATATTTAATTCGTCACATTAAAAAAAAAATAACTTGCATAAAGATATATTGTGATATATATAATTCTTCTAGTATCTACATATATATGTATATGTATATTATATAAAGTTTTATATTCGGTGTAATATCTTTCACTCTGTGTTGACCGGTTCAAAGGTCAAACTATATGATCCTTTCTCAAGGTGTGTTCTCGATGGGATAAAAATACGTGCATACATAAATACATAAATACATACATACATACATACATATTAAACTATAACATAACATACATACGTATATCTAT